GGATCACGAGTCTGAGCTATGTAGTGAGACCCTGCAACAACCAAATACATTTAAATAGTAATAATAAGAATAAGAATAAGAATATGGCAAGAAAGGTAGATTTTTGGGATACATTTTAAACTAAATTCCATTTAAAAACCAGCGTGTAGCCAACCATGGTGGTACGTGCCTATAATCCCAGGACTCTGGGAGCCTGCAACATGAGGATTAAAAATTTGACAGTCTGGGCAACTTGAGATTTTAGCAAGCCCCTTTCTAAATGAATGAATGAATGAGTGGCTGGGGATGAAGTGCAGTGTGAAGGCCCTGGATTCAATCCCCAGTGCCACACAGAAACAAATGTACAAAATAAAAAAACCAGTGTGTGTACAAATAATATTATTCAGTAGAGAAGTGACAATAAATTCTCACTCCCTTCTGGACTCATAGCACTTGTTCTAGTTTTTATCAGCAGTCTGAAATGCTCAAACGGTTTAACCAATCTTACCGAGCCTCCTCTTTCTTGATCAATCCTAGGTAATTCCGAGAGATTATTTTCTTATAGTCCTTTTTTTCCAAGTAATTCCCTCAAAGCACTCCTTGTTGTCTACTGTCCAGATTCCCATGTTGGCATTCAGAGCTTCATATTACCCAGCTAACCTTACGTAGGAAGCTTGGTGAATACATGTGGATCAATTGCAAGAAGGGACGTGGGCAAAACCTATACATGTACATACATTTCTTGCTAAAATTAGCTTTTCCTTCATTCCCAATTCAAAGCTCTTTTCCTTTCCTAGTCTAAATTCTACATATCCTTCCAGACTTACCTCAGATCCTGCGGTCCAAGACTCATTTTTCTGCCCTAGCCTCTTTTCGTTATGCTTTCAGTAAATATTGAATAAATGTACATTAGTAACATTCCATTTGGAAGAATGTCAACACTATCCTGTATTGTTTGTGCTTATTCTGTTTGCTTTGAATACCCCAAACAAATGTTAAAGACCATGACAAACACATACATATTCCCATGTTTAATCTTTTTAATAGTCTGTAACCTGTCACTGGGCTATGCTCTTTGCATGAATGTGCATAAAGTGAATGAAATTAACAGTATCGGTTTTAAACTTTCATTTCACACAAGAGCAATTCTGACATAACTTGAAGGGCACCTAAATTCAAGTACACATTGCATTGGTGCCCTCCAGCAAGAAGTGGTTTACTGTGTGCCCCTTACGCAACACCAGAAATTGAATTAATTTGCCCCAGTCAGAAAGATACTTGTTTCTACATTCAAAGCTACAAATGTTATGCGTATATATATATATAACTGCATACCAGGCTAATGTAATAACATTAGCAACAACACCCAAAAACATTGCCATCATCCCATATGGGCATGTTATTTTGCAGAACTGAAGATGTGCTTGGAAAATAATTTTTTAAAGGGGTACAAACATTTTTATCACTCTGCTTGTTTTTAGGTTGAAGAGAATGATATATTAATCGATTTGAATTATACAAGGTAATCTTATACCTTAAAGTGAAAGATATTAATGTATGAAATAGTACAAATTTATATGTACTAATAAAATCAGGTGGGCCTGTAATAAAATCACTGAGACCTCCAGAAAAGGTTTCTGAAGAAACTGGAAACAATTACGTAAAATACAAGTCTCTGGGCAGACATATTCAAGCTAAAGTTATGAGGTAACAGTTAAAAACACTGGGTATATATGCATATCATAGAGTGAGAGGAAAAAAAGAAAAGATAGCTAAAAAAGGAGTGTAAAGGAATTCATTCTTACATAATGAGAAGGTGGAAAAAGGCAGTGGGATTACCTTGGGTGCTGACGTGACGTGGAAAGAACATGATGCTAGCGCTGCTTTGGAGGCCCACCTGAGCATCCTCAGCTAGTTTCCAAGTGGTCTACAGCAGGGTCGAGGCAGCTAGGGTTTAGGCCTGCGAGGAGGCTCCACCCATCCTGCCTAACACCTGCTGACTGGCAAGCTTCACCCTTTCGGCTCTGGGTTCTGGCCTCACGCTATGGGCAGGCCTGCCACACAGGTGTCTGACATGCAGGAGGCAGGAATATCCAAACTGGGAATGCCCAACTTTCTAACTCTGACTCTGGAGATTACAGGAATACAATTCTCAAGCCATGTTTAAACCATATTTGTATGACCAAGCAGAAACCCACCATATAACCATTAAAAAATAAAAGTAAACAGTTTACAGAATTTTTATTGTAAACAGAGATCATTAATAATTATTACAAACCGAACTGAAACTCAAGCTAGCAATGGGAAACAAATTTATAGGTTGGTTTTTATATGGCACGATTTTAATCTTTTCCCTTCTCAACACTTTTAAAAAGAAAAAAATTATCAGCATTTCAATGGTCTCTTCTGTCAAGTTTAGCACCATTAACATTCTCTTAAAAAACATTCATTTAAAACTAAATAGAACTTCTACCTGTCATCATCAAAACTATCTCACAAAATGTATTGTTTTCATAGTGCAAAAATACAAATATGTATATTTTAAAATACTGCAGACTATTTATAGGCAGTCCCTGTTTGTGTGGTTTCACATTTTCCCCTTCAGCCCATTTGAGTCTAAATAATTTTGTATTTCTTTCTTTTGTCCCCCTTATCACTGCAATGCCCCTCTAGAACAGTACTATCACGTAAGGAAGCATGAATCTCCACCCGGCCCAGGCCCTGTCTCGCCAGCCACCTCCACCTGGGGGTGTGGCTCTGGGCAGAGGAGCACACAGCAGAGGCGCAAATTTTTCTGCTTATAGAAAAGCGCCATCTGGTGGTGAGTTTGGGCAGCTGAAACTTTACTGTGAGTGAAGATAGGTCACAGGTAAAAAGGGTGGTTTGTCCTTGCTCTGCTTCCCAGTAAATTTCCTAGGTCTACATTTCAGTGAAAAACCACACACCCCTCATAAAGTATCCCAAAATGCTATTCCATTAACAGTTCTATACAAGCATTTTCTCATGTCAAAAGCACTTAATGGAGACGTATCAAAAACATAAGTACTTTTCAAGCAGAAGTAAAAATAGATTAATGTATTATTCAATAAATATTTCATAAAATAGTGTTTTGTGATTTTAGTAAAAATAATTCAAGAAATTTTTAAAACAAATCTAGAGCACAATACTAATGAATGTAAAATTTAAAAATACACTGAGCATATAAGCAAAAATTGCAATGATTTTTCTATGTAGGTTTGAAATATTAAATGATAATGAATATATTCAAATAGGTTTAAATATCACTACAATTAATGAGAGGTCATGAACTTCATTCTGTCATTTAAAAACTGCTCTCGGGCCGGGGAGATGGCTCAGTAAGATAAGCGCTTGACTGGCAAACGCAAGGATATGAGTTCAATCCCCGGTTCCGCAAAAAAAAAAAAAAAAAAGAAAGAAATAAAAACTGCTCTCAATGTTAGATAATAAATCAATTCTTATTTTAGTAGTTTAATGACTTGACAGTCTCTAAGATATTTGGTTTTTCTATTAGAAAAAAACATAGCTATATTGAGTACAAACTGTTTTTTTGTTTGTTTGTTAATTTTCTTACACAGTTAAAAGTGAGCATGACGGAATATGGTTACACGTCAGTGTGGGTGAGGCCTATGCTATGTCCTGCTATTTTACTGCACTCTATTTTGGAGTCCCTGTCCTGTTCTTGATCCTGTGTCTATGTTAATGATTCCAGAGAATTTCTTTCAAATCAAGTAACTTGAAATATACTTAACATTAACTGTCCTGAGAGCTGTAAATGATTACAATGCAACAGTGATATTAGAAGCAGAAATACATTTTTATGCTTATTTAAAATTACTGTTTGACCTCTTGGACGAGCACCCTTTTGTCCAGTGCACCCTGACTTCTCTGCAAGGCCCAGTGTACACGGTGAGGGGAGCTGGTAGTGTGGCACACTGGGGCAAGCTCACTGGCCTCTCCTGGAGCAGGGCTCAGAGGGCCTGGGCCTGAGGTGGCCACTCCTGCGTGTCACAACTGGAAAGCTGGTGTACCTCACATGGAGGCCAAATGGTCTTGAAATATATTTCAATAATATTTTGGAATTGGCTTACAATAGTTTAAAATCAGACAGTGACTGGTCTTTTTTTTTTTTTTTTGGTGTGACATGAAATTACTTATCTTTTAACTAGAGTAGCATACCTGCTTTATTTGATTCTTACTTGCGTAGCTAAATTTGAGTTTGTCCTTTTTTTTTCACCTTTCTAGAATTTTAAATAATTGAAAATTATGTGTAGATAGTAAAAAGAGGATGGTATTTAGAAACAGGTACATTCAGATTTAAATTACATTTGAATTCCAATCCTAGCTCTACTAGGATTGGATGTTAGACAGATTTCTTCATTCGTCTGATCCACAGTTTCTTCCTGCTTAAACCTAGGATAATAACACCTACTTACAGAGTTGCTGTAAGAGTTAGACATTAAACATGCAGTACCTAGGAAGCACCTAGCACGTACAAGATGCTCAATAAATGACAGCGATCACTATATTAAAAGTTAAAGCTGAGACTGTATTTAATTTCCACCACATTATGAACACTTAATATTTAATCACCATTTCAAGAAACCACTGTATTACAGAGTATTTTCTTCTTGGTGCAAGATTAAGGAACCACAGTTTCTTACTGACTCACATGTGTACTTCTCTAATCCCTTCACTTGGACATGAGAAAATGGCTCAAGGTTAGTGCACTAAAAATCTGTGTCCTTCTTATTAGGAGTTAAAACACAGCATGAAAAACTATGTACTGCAAACGTACTAATTTTAAAAAGAATAGGTGTCAAGTCGTGCTTCTGGTGGGTCTATTAGACCCAAAGCTTCCTTACAGTGAGTCTAAGCAACTGCTTCAGCCCTTTAAAATCAGTTAGACAAGAGATAGTGAAATTCTAATAACACTTTTTTGGAGATTAATTTCATTAACTTTGTTGTTGTTGGTTTTTTTTTTGGTGGAACCGGGTATTAAACTCAGGCTCTTGTGCTTGCCAGGCAAGTGCTTATTCTATTGAGCCATCTCCCTGGCCCTCATTAATTTCTTGTAATTCTTTAGAGCACTGTCATTTGAAAATCAGTGCAACTTAATAAAATATAGTAAAATTTAGGGTTCCAAGAATATTTTAAATAGGGAGCTATACAATACATACAGTAGTGCTCTCAACTAAAATAATTACAGTGAGTTATCACAGACTCTGTAAAAACATGATTGGCATGCGTATTCTTAAAAAACAAAGGTTGAGTCAACAGATAAACAGAGATGACCTCTGGCATTCTAATGCGTGTTTCCACAGGGATTGTCTGAGATCTGGCAGCCCATGTTCTGGCTGGTCACTTGCACTTTGAAGAGCGTCCCATCAGCACACATGCAGAGCTTGTAGCGCACCCAGTCACCGCCGCCTAGCTGATCTCCACTGGAGGACGTGGGCAGGCGAGTCGGGCTAACCATCACGGTTCCATTGAGGATGATGCTATTTTCCTATGAGGAAGAGGAAATATGATTTACTTACCTCCACAGTTGGTGAGGAGTAAAATTATTAAACAGAAGTTACTAGATTAATAACAACAAATGAAGGCACTCAAAGAACAGTCATGAATAAAAAATAATGGTAATCAAAAAACCCCAAACCAATGCCAAAATGCAACTGGTACCCAGGCACAGTGGCACATGTCTATAATCCTAGCAACTATTGAGGCTGAGGCAGAAGGATTGTACTTTGAGTCTAGCCTGGAAAAATTATCAAGACCCTGTCTCAAAATAAAGAATAATTTTAAAAATAAGGGCTGCAGATGGATTTCAGCAGTAGAGTTCACCTGGTTCAGTCTCCAGTACAACAAGGGGAAAAAGTTAAATGATGACTTTTAGCTTATTCAGTTTATGCTATATGTTAATTGTAACACAACTTGCAATTATGCTGCATATAAAACAGAGGATAGAGTGCCTGATGTTGTAGGGACACTAAGGAGGTCAGTGTGGAAGAGGCCCTGGGGGGAGGGCTTGGTAGAGATGAAATAATAACTGGGGGCCAGATATATAAGGGTTGGGAATGAGCTTTGGATTTCATTTGAAATTAGACAGGAAGTCATTTAGAGGCTTTAGCAGAAGGAAATGACAGAACCTTTTTAAAAGGTCACTTGGGGTGCTGGGCAGAGAAAGGCCTACAGGTGTGAAGGGACAAAGTAGAAATTCCAGTTGGGGGGTGTTCCATGGCCAGGCAAGAAATGAGGGCAGAGTACATCACGGTGGTGTTGGAGGACGCAGTCAGACTACACGAAGGTGGAGCCAGAAGGCCTGGCTGACGGACTGGGTACCACTGTACTAGGCAGTGCCACTGAGAAAAAGGCAAGTTTATCAGGTAAGGAGGACATCAAGACTTTGGACTTGTCAGATTTAAGATGTTTATTAGGTACAGAAACAGAGAAGGTTAGCAGGCAGTTGGTTAAATAATCTTAGTTCAGAGGAAAGGTTAAGGCAGGAGTTCTGTCCACGGGCATCATCAGCTTACAGAGGGTACTGGAAGCAGTGAGAGGAAGTTGGTCATAAAGTAAGGACAGAACTAATTTATCAGGTAGTGAAAACAAGGGTGAGTATCCCTTACCTGAAATGCTTGGGATACTAAATACTTCACATCTGAGAGTTTTTTGGATTTGGAAGATTTTCACAGGATGTAATTTTTAAGAAACTATGTATTTAAAAAAATTTTGTTCCTATGCTCACTGAAAATTATTTTTCTTTAGGTTGTATGTTGTTTTCAATAAATTCCAGTGTTCTATCAAACAGGAAAGTGATTGCAGTTAACAATGTATTTCAAAAATAGAAGAGGATTTTTACTGTTCTCACCACAAAGAAGTGATAAATGTTTGTGGTGATGGCTTTGCTCGTCAAATTTGATGACATGAACTTTATCACATCATACTATACCCTACAAATATGTATAATGTATGTTCGTTATAAATTTAAAAAGGAAAAGTAAAATTTAAAAAGTAGTTTGATCAAATTCTGGGTTTATGCTTTTGTTTCCATACTGAGGCATTTTGTACTGAGTTATACCCCAGCCTCTTTATCGTATTTTGAGAAAGGGTCTCACTGAGTCACTAATTTGCCAAGTTTGGGCTCAAATCTGCTGTCCTCCTGCTTCAGCCTGACAGAGTTCTGATGATAAAATCCTTTCTAATAATGAGCTTAAAAATTAACCACTGATTTTAACTGAATTATAAAGTTAAATATCCATTAACGGGAACTTTTTGTGTGTGTGTGTGTGTGTGTGTGTGTGTGTGTGTGTGGCCAGCTCAGCCCACCAGGGGGCGGGGCTGGCTGGCATGTGGTGCTGGGGGATTGAACCGCAGTCCCTGCGCTTTGCTAAGCTTGTTCTAAGTAGGTGCTTTAGACCGCTGAGCCATCTCACCAGCCCCCATCAACGGGAACTTTTTAAAAAATGACCTAAGAGTAGAAAAGGGACTGAGAAAGGGACAAGAGTAGTGGGGAGGGTACAAAGAATCAATGTACAATGTATGCAAACATCGTGGCGAGTGCCATCAATGTGTACACTGCCTATGTGTGCACGATAATAATAAAAAGCTATTTGTCCTTTTAATATTGGGTCCTTCTCTTTTAAACATAAGGAAACAAATTATGTTTCCATGTGTATGTCAAAGTATTTTAACATCTGTCATATTAACAGGATAGAATGAGACACAAATTTTCTGGTGGAAAAATAAAAGGCTGAGGTAACTTGCCCACAGTCTGCATAAACAGTCCAGCCTCTCACTGCTTTGACTGCCCAGCTCAAAGCATTACACTCCCGCTGTGACTGGTTCTCAGTTCCTTTTGGGGAATGCCTTCTTACCACAACGCATGTCAAAGCTACTCGCTGTGGCTATGCAAGAAGTATTCTTATGTTCATCTTTATTATCTGCAAATGGAATTCTGTGCTTCCCAAATATTCACAAAAATATTTTATTGTGAATGCTTTCAAAGAATGCTGCAACCAAAATTCAT